GACCTGCCTATTTTCACCGTGCACCACTTCAATAGTCTTATTTATTTTAATTATCAGATCTCTTTTCTTATTCATGGCTTTAATGAACTGCCTATTTTAGATATTTCCATCTGCTTTCCTATTAATTTGTTAAGAAATAAATCAGATTTATGTAAAAATAGCTCAATAATCACTGTATTTTTCTTCCCCAGTACTGGAACTGAACCTAAAGCATTTGCTCTGAGCTACATCCCTCACCCTTTTTATTTTTAGACAGAGGTTTGCGGAGGTACCCAGGTTAGGCTTGAACTTGTGATCCTTCTGCCTCAGCCTCTCATGGTACTGGGATTGCAGGTATCTACCACCAGGACAAGTTATCACTGTGATAAACTTTGTTCTATTTCTTGCAACCTCTACTGCCTGTAAATCTGAATTGTGTTCCAGTTCACCAGTATTTAATACTCTCATTAAAGCACATGAGGATGAGAATGAATTTTCCTAGGTAAGCTGTCATTGCCCCAAATTTGAATTCCTTCCACTAACACAGATTGCGTGTGACCCTCTTTTCGTTGTGTAAATAAAACTTTAAAATTGTTTTATTTTCCACGGTGCTGGCAGTGGAAACCAAGGCCTCACACATGCTAGGCAAGCGCCCTTCCTCTAAGCTACAGCCCCAACCTTTTTTCAAGGTGGGTTCAGTCTTTTCCTTCCTCATCTTGGCAGACAGCAGTGAGAACTATAGTGCTTCCTCTCTCCCCTCTTCCCTCTCTTCTTCTCCGACCGCTGAGATGTTTCCCTCCAGGACCTGAGCTTTCCTGTCTCCACAGTATCAGCAGGAGGGTAGGCCACTGGGAATAATGCATTCTGTCTTTAAGCAGCCCAGGCTCTGGAATTACACATCTTCTCTGCTGCTTCTGGAATCTTGCTTCCTGCCTTGCATCCACTAAGAGCATGAAAGCACTGTGGTTAAATGCCGTCGGGCTCCTGTGTAAATGACCGCCGGATCCCTTTGGTTGCTTGTGGAGTTTTAGCGAAGGAGAGCAGTTTTAAGGCTGCCACTCAGGCAAGCCAGGACCTGCCCCTGCATCCCACAGCAATGCCAGCACCCTGGTGGGTTTTTTTGTTTGTTTGTTTTGTTTTTAGACAGGAGCTCCCTATCCTATGTAGTTCAGGATGGCCTTGAACTCCTGGCTCTGGCACTGAGTTGAGCACTTTGCACCCACCAGTGGTCTTTGTTCTTGCAGCAGTCTCTGAGAAAAGGGAACACTGTTATTCCTCTTTTACAGGGGGATGAATGAAGACTTGGAGAAGTTGCTCAAGGGCTCAGATAGGAACTTGCAGAGCTCAGATTCAGGCCAGACTTTGTCTGCTCAGGAAGCTGTATCTTTTCTTCTGTCCACACACATGGCATCTGCAGGGGTTGTGTAGACCCTCAGCTGTAGCATGGGGAGTCTGAGGGCCCCAGGAAGCGCGATAAGGCTTCTGTTAAGGTGTCACGGATACACTGAGGCCAAGACAAGAACATTGCAATTTCAAGTCCCGTATGGGCAACTTAGCAAGGACCTGCCATAAGTTAAGAATTGAAGAAAAGACTGGAGATGTAGTTCAGTGGCCGAGTGCCCCTGGGTACTTAGTATTTAGACTGATCCTTAGTACTGGAGGCTTGGGGGATCACTGAAGTAGGAAATTCAGTGATGGGCCGTAAAGGCGTAACCAGCGTTCTACATGTCAGGGAGAAAGAGGAAGCCTGGTTATAATGCTAGAAAAGACATTCTTGAGTGACCCTATCAGCTGCTAAGGCCCCAGTTCCTTTGATTAGAATTGGTTACAGAAACTTTTGCAAGATCTAAATTGGTGAAAGGAGGGAGAAAGAAAAGGGGGAATTACTATTGCATTGCTATAGAATTTTCCTTGTCACTCTCTCTATGATCATTCATTTATTTGTACTTTGCTTATCCATTTTGTGGTGCAGGGGATTGTGCCCGAGGCCTTGAGCTTGAAAGGCAAATGTTTCGAATTGGAGCTACACCCTACCCTCACTTGATGTCCAGCTGAAGCAAAATGTACCACACCTGGTGTTGTCTTTGTTATGTAATAGTAAGTCATGAATGGCTTTGCAAAAAAAGGTATCCTTTGAATTTTTCAGCGGTGCCGTCTATGCATTGTGTGATTTCTCCTAATTCTTGGGGAATCATAGATTGTTTTGCAGTACTAGAGAGTAAACTTGGGACATTTACACTGACAGGTACATCCCCAGCCTTTTGTTTTGTTTTGTTTTGTTGAGACAGGGTCTTGCCACATTGTTCAGGCTGGCCTTGGGCTCACTTTGAGGCCCAGGCTAGTCTCAAATTTGCAAAGATTCTCTTGCCTCAGCCTCCTGAGTACTGGGATTACAGGAGTGTGCCACCACGTCCGGCCTCTCTAGCCATTTTTTAAAACTATTTTAGAGACAGAATCTTACTAAGTTGCTTAGATTGGGCTTGGATTTGTGATTCTCCTCTTTTAGTCAGAGCGTTGGGATTACAGGCCACACACATCTAGTTTGTAACTCAGACTTATCAGAGGACCGGGGGCTTTAGAAGATTAGAGACCTGCCAAGCACCTGGGCAGATGCCTGTCTGCTGAGTCCTTTTTTGCTACAGCAGCCGCCTATCCCAGCTACCATCTCTGGATAAGAAGCCTCTATTCATAGATCAGGTTCCCTAAGGCTGAGGGGAACTCAGTGTTCTGTACCCATCAGCAATGGCTCTCCAGGACCTCTGCAGGCTAGCAGTGGTCTCCTGGGTTTGGTCAGGAGGGTCAAGCTGTGGGACCTCACCCCTCGGGTGGCCTGGGAAGGTTGCATACTGGTATGGTTGAAGAACAAGGCCTGGCACCATGAATTGGAAGTCAGGTTGGTCAGCAGGCATGAGTCATACTTCCAGGACGGTGATCTCAGTAATTTCAGCCCCAGTGGCTCAGCTAAGACCTCTTCATTTCAAGCCTGCTGGCATTTTCCGATCATTGCTGATGATAGTAAATCACTATAGCAATATCTGTGGGGAAAGTAACTAATGTCATTTTTCTCCTAACATTTGAAAAAGCATTGTAATTTAAGATCATGGACTCCAAGCCTGCCTGCTCAAGCTTTTATATTAGTTTTCTGTGGCTGCTAAAACAAAATTAAGAATGCTACAAATTTAGAGGCATATAACACTACAGTGGTAACATCTTTTTTTGAGGGGGGTGTGAGACAAACACTCACTATGTAGCTCAGGCTGGGCTTAAACCACTGTAATCCTCCTGCCTCAGCCTCCCGAGTGCGGGCATTCTGGGTGTATATCACCATGCTGACTGAACAGATAAAGTCAGGAAGGTGAAAGGATCCTGAGATCAAATCTAGGGACCATGGGTGCTATGTCCCTTTAGAAGTGAGCTCTGTGTTCTTGCTGTTTGTTCTCTACTTCTAGAGGTTGCCCACATGCCTTGGTAGCAGATCCCTTCTGTCTTCAGAGCCAGCAACACAGCCTCCCTGCAGCCTCTGCTCACATCACACATCACGCCTTCTCTCCTTCACCTGCCTCACCCCTCTTTCTTGTGTAACCATCTTGGACCCCATTGGACCCACCTAGATAGGTTAGGATCATCCCTTTATATCAAGTCCCCTTTGCCTTGGACGGTAACATATTCGCAGGGTTGGTAGGAGGATGAATATAGGAAAAACTATGAAAGTGTCTGCTAGCTTTAAAAAATACCATATATGATATATAATTTACAAGTTGTACACATTTATATATAGTATATAGACAAAATTTATATATATACAGTAATTGTATATAGTTGTGTATATGTTATGAAGGACTAAAGAATATATCCATTACCTCACATACTATCCTTAATTAAAATATATTAAATACATAAAATATTAAGTAGAAATATGCACTCTTTGATTTGTACTGTTTCATAGAAAGCAAAGTATTAGGCTACCTAACATGATTGTTACCAAATCATTGTCCACAATGGCAAAAAAAAAAAAAAAAAAAAAGGAAGAAAGAATACCAGGAAAAAGAAATGCACCAGCAGGTTGTTACATGAATGCCTGTCAGCTGTACAAGGGCTCGTCTGTTACCCATCTGGAGCAGAATGGAGCTGTTAGACACAGTTAATCCACACCTGGAGAACCATCCTGAATGGCAGTGAGAGTAGAGGAGGAAGACACACAGAAATGATACAATTGGAACTGATTTTTTAAAGGAATTTTAAATATCAGCCCTTTGCATTGGCGGTCCCCAGCCTTTTTGGTACCAGGAACCAGTTTTAGAGCAGACAGTTTTTCCATGCTGGGGTTAGGTAGGGATGGTTTCAGGATGATACAAAGGCCTTCATGCCTTGCTTGCACAGTTCTCAGTAGGATCTGCGCTCCCCTGAGGCTCTGAGGCCATGCTGCCTGGTCAGGACAGGGCTCAGGCAGTGGTGAAGCAATGGGAGAGGCTAGAAACACAGGTGACGCCTCCTGTCTTGCTTCCTGCTCTTCAGCCTGACTCCTGCTGGGGTCAGGAATCCCCTTATCCTAGCAGGTTTTGGTATTTGGCTACTGATTTAATGTGTGTCTGTGTGTGTGTGTGTGTGTGTGTGTGTGTGTGTGCGCGCGCGCGCGCAGTTTCCCATCCGTGAAAGGAAGTCAGTGATTCTTCTCACCCAACGGGCTCTGGCAAAGGTTAAGGGCAATGATGAATGTCCATTGTGCTCACCGATGGCCTTGGATGGCCTTGGTTGCGGGAGCGCAGAGGTGCAAAGAGGTGGTTACTTTGTGTTTACTTCTGCATTGCTACATAGATGGAGAAATTGTTACTGTGGTAAGGTTTTACACTCAGTTTTATTCATAGTTTGGGTACAATCACAACCATACAGAATCCGGGACAGCACGAACCTGGAAACATCGTGACAGAATGGCAACTTTGAAAAACAAATTTAATAATGAAGGTTGAAAGGGAAAAAAAGACGGGAGAGCCCTGACTCAGACTGTCCCTGTTTGTCCTCAGCCTGTACTGCAGAGGCTGCTCCAAGCCTCTGTGCTGCTCGTGTGCGATCCTGGACCGCGAACACGGAGACCTCAGGTGCGACATCAGCACGGAGGTCCAGCTGTGGCAGTCGGAGCTGGATGCAATGGCGCGAGCGCTGCAGGAGCAGGAAGGCGCCTTCCAGTCGGTGCACACCCAGGTGCGCTCGGCCATCAGCCAGCTGGGCCACGCACGTGAGGACACCGAGGAGCAGATCCGTGCTCAAGTGCGCCAAGTGGTGGCGCACGTGCAGGCGCGGGAGCGCGAGCTGCTGGAGGCTGTGCAGGCACGGTACCAGCGCGACTATGAGGGCATGGCTGGGCGCCTGGGCCGCCTAGATGCTGTGCTGCAGCGCATCCGCGTTGGGGGCACGCTGGTGCAGAGGATGAAGAGCTACGCCTCCGACCAGGAGATGCTGGACATGCACGGCTTCCTGCGTGAGGCGCTGTGCCGCCTGCGCCAGGAGGAGCCCCAGCACCTGCAGGCCCCCGTGCGCACCGATAGCTTCGATGAGATCAAAGTGCGCCTCCAGGACCTCATCTCTTGCATCCCCCAGGGGACAGGTGAGTGCCCAGGCATCGGTCCTGTAAAAGATTACAGATACCTGGCTGGGGGAGGCGGCACCTGCCTGTAATCGAAGAACTCTCCAGGAAGCTGAGGCATGAGGATCACAAGTTTGAGCCCAGCGTGGGCAACTTAGCAACTTAGCATAATCCTGTCTCAAAATTTCAAAAGTAAAGGACTGGGCTTGTAGCTCAATGTGAAGGCGCTGGATTCAATCCTCTTACCTCAAAAAGGTGTGTGCTTTGTATTTCTAGGAGAATAAGCCCCAGTGAGTTAAATAGCCTGCCTTGCATATTGTAACTGGGCAGCAGAGAAAGAAGTTATTTTATTCTGAAGTAAGCCAGGTTTACATTATGCTAATAAAAGTAGATCAGGAAGAGCAACATGAAGCCCTTACCATGGAGACCCTGAGCAGGAATGGCTTTAGGGTTGTCCCCATCTTTCCCTGCTGGTGACCTGGAGATAGAGAGAGGAACACGTGGGTGAGGGCTCTGAGATGCCACCCTCTCTCCCTTCCAGCCAAGTCCCTCCCTCTGCAGTCAGGAACTTTCCTTCTGACTGCCAGCTGTCTATGGATATCCAGAAGAAAGTGTGTCTAGGAGAAACAACAAAGCCCTCTTACCCATCCCTTTCCCAGGCCAAAATGCCCCGCTCTGGGGTGTTCCTGAACTGCCTGTCCCTTCTCTGTGTCCTCCAGATGCATCTCTGTCCAGGAGAGTCATCTCAGAGGCCTCCGGCACTCCAAGTGACTCCTCAGTGAGTGACCAGGTGAGAGAGTTGGGATGGGGAGATGGTCAGGTGCAGGAGAATTGGGCAGCCTGTGTCACAGTGTCTGCAGGGAGTGTGCTGGGGAGGGACAGTGAGTGGCCAGATGGGAGTCTCCCTGGGAAGGGTAGCAGAGGACATTATGGAGAGATCACTTGCCCAACACCGAGGTCCTGAATAATAATGTCAATGGACTATGAGCCAGCTTCGGGAGAAGTGAGGCTGGGGGTAGGCAGTGAAGGAAGTGGTCACTAGAATGACCCTGATGACTGTGATACGTGACCTCCCTTGTCCCTCAACCTGACACTAATGTGTCACCATTTCCTGAGACCTCCACAGGTGGACCTTCTCTCCTCCCACACATGGTTCTGGAACTGGAACAGAATAGAGCCAAGAACCAGTCTTCCCTCCAGCAGCCTGCCTTCTGTATAGTACAGGTCACCGGATACCTGAGAACCAGTTTCTTGGCATCTTGTGTTGGCATTCCTCCTGCAGTGCCTGTAACCTAAGGGCATCCCACCTTCACAGTGGTCTGGGATAGAGGTGTTCACAGGCAGGGTTCCCCTGCAGTAAGATGAGCTCCCATTGCCTTCCTGGCCCTGGCAGCTGATCCCATCCCCAACCTGGTCACTCTGGTCAGTGTGCTGCCTGTCAAGGACTGGGCCCAAGAATAAGCAGTCCTCCCTGAAAAGGAGGCAGGGTTGGGAAGCTTTCCTAGATTTGCAGTAGTGTGACCCATAGGATTTGTATTCTTGGTATTTGCTGTGCTGAGTATTCCCCCTCCTTTTTTAAAAAATTTGTACGTGATTGTAATACTTAGTTGAACACACTCACCATAGTGGAACTGGTGTGTATACATATCACATCTTTTTTGGGGGAGAGGGGTTACTGGGGATTGAACTCACGACCTTGCACTTACCGGGCAGGTGCTTACACCACTAAGCTAAATCTCCGGCCCCTTTTTTGCTCTTTTTGAGATAGGGTCTCACTATGCAGTTCAGGCTGGCCTTGAACGCACTTTGTAGCCCAAGCTTGAACTCAACTTTGTAGTCCAGGCTGTAGTCCTCAAATTTGCAGTAATCCTCCTACCTCAGCAAGTGCTGGGATTACAAGCATGAGCTACCATACCTGGCTGCATATCACAGTTTGATCCTTTTTACTTCCTCTTTCCCTCCCCTCCCTGTCATCTCTTCCCATCTTCAAGCCCCCTTTCTGCCCTTTCAAAGAACCAACTCTTTGATACATTGACCTTCTGTATCCCTACCACCACCATCAGCAGCAGCATTATTGTGCTGTTGCTGATTTCTGGCTTCACTGTGCTATGATCCAGCAGGATGCCAAGGATTATCTCAGTTCTTGTGTATTTATTGAAGGGTGCTTTATGGCCTAAGATGTGGTCTATTTCAGAAAAAGTTCCATGTGTTTCTACAAGAGAGGTGTGTTCTGCTGTTGGTGGATGAAACCTCCTGGAGATGTCTCTTAAGTTCATTTGTTCAATGGTGTGGTTTAACTCTGATGTTTCTTTGTTTGGGTTTGTTTGTTTGTTTGGTCTGGCTGACTTGTCTGACTGGAAGCAGGAGGTATCAAAGCCACCACTGTGACCATGTCAGTGTCTGTCTGGCCTTTTAAGTCCAGTAGTTTTTGTTTTATGAAGTTAGGGGCCCCAAAATTTGACACACAGATATTTGCAGTTGTTACATCTCTTCTTGTTGAATTGTTCCCTTTACCAGTGTGTTAGTGGCTGCTCTCGTGTCCTCTGGCCCCTTTTGGCTTAAAATCTCCTGAGTCTGAAAATAAGACTCCCCAGATGAATGGCATATCATTTCTACCCTTTCACTTCAGTCTGTAGCCTTCTTTTTGGATGAGTTGTGTCTCTTATATGTAATAGAGGATTGCATGTTGTTCTCTGATCCTGTCTTTTAGTCTGTCTTTTGACTGGGGAGTTGAGACTGTTGAAATTGAGTTATCATAAGGCATTTATTGAATCCTGTAATTAGCAGTTCTTAGTCGCTGTGAAGCCCTTGGGTTCAATCCCCAGTGCCACACATATAACTATATAATATATAATATATATTACATATTTTTTTAATTTAATTTTTTTTTTTGGTACTGGGTATCGAACTCAGGACCTTGCATTTGCCAGGCAGACACTGTGCCACTGAGCTATACCCAGAGCCTCATTCATGCTAGGCATGGGCTCCACCGTTGAGCTCCCAGCCCTGTGTGTGGGCTTTCATCTGAGTCTGTGGTGTGCATGCTGAGGGGTAGCTGAGTCTCCCTAGAGTGTGTGCTGAGGAGTAGCATTGCTGGGTTGTATAGCCATGCTTCGTTTCACCTGATGAGAACTTGCCCACCCACTCCATGGATTGCAACGCAGATGCGCAAAGTTCTCAATGCTGAGAGAGTGCTGAGTTCTCAGCATGGAGTTGTGATAAAATAGCATTTATCTCCATCTTCCTCATCATCGCCAGCATGAATAGCTTCCGAAGTGCTTGGTGCTCTTCCTGACATGGTGCCTGTTTCCAGGGAGAGTTAGGTGTGTAGGGCTGGGGCCAGGATTGTTCTCACCAATGGAACTCTATGTTGTTGTGGGAGCTACGATCCTTAGCAGTGAGCCCCTCCTCCCTGGGCGCTTGCACTGGGCTGTTTCTCGGGCACATCTTGAGGAGGAGCTGGGTAGTGTGCACCCCGAGGTATCAGGAGACATGAGAATTGACATGTGGCTGGATACCACCCCTGGGGTCTGGAGGAGGTGGTGTCATGGCGGGCATAGGGAAGGTTCCTTGTCTCCAGTGAGCACCAAACTTGGGACCAGGGAACCTACACCTGAGACTGGCTGCAGGCTTGGGGTCCCTGGGTTGTTTCTGATTCTTATGTTCCAACTTTGCAGCCCAGTGAGGCACAGAAGGCACAGGCCCTGGCCCTAGGGCTGTCTGAAACCCAGCCAGCTCAAATGGTACAGATGGTGCCCAGAGCGTACCCCGTGCCCATCTATGCCTTCTCCATCAGAAGCCCCTCATCTGGAGAGGTAAGGCCCTGCTGGTCATGCCTCCCACCCCCAGGCCCAGCTCCGGTGGAGCAAGGGGAAGAATCCTGGTTGTCACTGGCTCCTCATGAGGCAGGATCTTCTTGACACTCAGTCTGCCCTCTCCCTTGCCCTTGGCTCCACCCTCAGGAAGCTGAACATGTGTGACTTCCAGCCCAACTGGCCACTGAGACCCCAGGGCTCTCAGAGGCTGGCAGGGCTGGCAGAGGCTGGAAACCAGCACCAGGACTAATGTGCATGGCAGCCTGAGAGGCTTCCTGAATGTGAGAGGCATGGTTTGAATGGCAGAGAGCAGAGGAGAGGGCACAGTGGCAGAGGGAAGAGGAACAGAGATGTGACTACAGCACTGAGCATGGTGACACAAGCCTGTAATTCTAGGTACTCAGGAGGCTGAGGCAGGAGGATCACACATTTTAGTCCAGCCTAGTCAGCATAGTGTTTTATCAAGACCTTGTCTCATAATTAAAAATAGAAGGGCTGAGTATGTAGCTCCATGGCAGAGCACTTGCTGATATGCACAAAGTCCTGAGTTCAATCCCTAGGACTGAAACAATTAAAGAAGATATGGCCTCAGGCCCTCTGATACCCAGTCTGGGTCTGTGACTCCTAACCATGCAGGTCTCCAGTGCAGCCTCCCCGACCAAAAGAAAATCCTGCCACACGCAGTGCTCCCGAAAGATCATCAAGTTGGAGTCGGAGGAGGACACGGAGTTGCCCTTGGCTCCCAGCCCCAGTGAGCAGCCCAGGCCCAGCACCTCCAGGGCAGTGTCACCCCCGCACCTGGACAGGCCTGCCCAGCCTGAGAGCCCCACCATGGGAAAGGAGGCCTTGCAGCTCAACAGCACCCATGTTGCCACAGAGGCAGGTAGGGTGAGGGTGGGATGGCAGGGGTAGAGCAGGGCCCCCTGTGTACTCTGACCCCCAGGGAGCCCACAGCCACAGGATCCTCTTGTGGGTCCTACTCTGGCCCACCACAGAAAAGGGGTGGCCCAGGGGTGGGAGTCTGAGCTACTGTGTGCCCTGCTTGATTCCAGTTCAGGGATATGGAGGGCTGAGGTGTATTGTTCCTTGAGTCCTTTCCCCAGCACGCTTCCAGTGCCCACCCAGGGCTCTACACAGGCGGCTGTGGTACAGGAAATACTTGCATCTAACGCTCCCAGAGGAGACTGGGTGAAATCTACCCATGCATTTCCCCAGTTTGGCAAATGCTACCCACCTAGATATCTCCTTTGTCCTCACTAGTATGTTTCATGGACCCTGTCAGACAGGGAGACTGAGTCCTCAGGAAGGAGTTGAGGTCAACCCTGAATATTCTGGAACTAGAAGGGCTGTCTATTCTGCATTGCTAAGGTTCCTGACGGAGCCCCAACCCTGCTCACACAGGGTACCCTGCCTGCTGTTCTTGGAGATTGGAACAAATCAGTGACTCCTAGTGAATCCTTTTTCAGGATTGCAAAATGTGCCAGCCAGGGGTGGTGCTGCAAACCTATAATCCCAGTACTCTGGGAGGCTGAGGCAGTAGTTACCTCAAACTGGTGCCCAACCTGGGCAACATAGTGATTTAGTGAGACTCTGTCTCAAAACAAAAAATAAGGGTTGCATTCAATCCTAGTACCAAAAAAAAAAGAACTCATGGCCTACTATGAATACATATTCACAGATGAGGTACAACTGGAAATGATAGAAATCTATTTGTGAAAACCCAAACTCAAAGCAGATCCACTGGCACACAGAGTGCACATTCTCATTGCTCCTGGCAGAACACTGTCACCTCCCAGCTCACTGGTCTGCAGGGACCCTGCACCCTGACCTGTGACCCTGATCCTTTCCCACCCCATGACCCCCGTGTCCCAGCTAACACTTTCTCCAGGTGTGCACCCAGAGTGCCCTAATGTGACCCCTGATTTCCATTCTAGATGAGCCCATCGTGGTGATCAGCAGCTCAGAAGACTCTGATGCTGAGAACTCAGTAAGTGGCCCAGAAAGCTGGCCCTACATTCCTGCCTTCCCCTACCTTTATGGCTTAGATGTGTTCTTCCAAGATGCCTGGTAGCATGATTCCTTCCAGAGCCTACTGTCCTCTGCAGTGTCCCAGGCCTTTGCAACTTCTTCATACATTTCCTGTTCCCTAAATCCTCCATGAGGAGGGCTAGATGAGAATCAACTCCCTGCTTGTCCCAGGCAATGAGGACTGGTTGGGGAAAGGTGTGAGGTCACAGGGGCCACACTAGCAAGTTTTGGCTTTATGTACAAAAGAATTTTAAATCCATCTTGTAGTCTTATGGGTAATGACCTTTCTGTCCCTGGTAGTGTATTACCAGAGCTGGGCTGTCCCTTTCCCAGGGAAAAGGATGGGGTAGAACAAAAGGCTGAACTGGGTGGCCCAGGGTCCCTTGCAGCACTCAGGCTGAGGTTCTGTCTTGGAAGTACCCGGAACCACCAGAAACCACCGAGCCACCCTCCTTGCCAGCCTCTTCCCTGCTACAGAGAGCACAAGGGGCCTCCCGTGAGCCCTCCAGCACATGCTGCCCCCCAGCTTGGCCTCCCTGGCATCCTGCCCAGCCAGCTGCAACCCCCAACGCCGAGGGTCCCCGCCAGCTTCTTGATCGACAGAAGTTCACTACCATCCTCCGAGGGATCCGCAGGAGGTTGCGCAGGGCACAGAGCGCCATCAGCCTTCACCGCATCCTCTGCCACTACCAGGCCACTGTACAGACTCTGTCACCCACCATGGCCCAGGCCACCACCCCTGTCACCACAGCGCTCCCCAGGCATCCTCCCAATATCCAGGAGCACATTAGCCGGCTGCGAGAGATCTTTGGCCTGTCCTGCCAGACACTCAGGGCAGCGCCATCCTGCAGCCGTGCCCTCCGAGGCTCACCCTCCTAAGCCCAATTGCTCAACAGACTTTTTGCCATCCTTCTCTCCATCACAGCCTCCCATCCAGCTTAATATCCTTCCACAGTGGGGACACAGCGAGGCTTAGCAGTCCTGACTCTAGGGGGAGGGGTTTCCCCCAGGGATTGGGGCAGGGATTCGGGATTACAACTCCCCGTCCCAGTGGATGGATGCCTCTCCAGTTGCATCTCTACCCTTGCACAAGTGCAAGAGGCTCCCCTTGGCCAGGCCTCTGAGACCCCCAAGAGCCTCCCCTCTCTGTAGCTGTTTCCTCACCTTGTAACCAGACCCCCTGCCTGGGGCTTCCAGCTTTGTGGACCCTGCCATGGCTGAGGTTCAGGCCACACTGCCTCACAGGCCTCTTTGACCAAGAAGGAAGCTTCTCTCACTCTGTATGTTCTTCAGTGTCCCCAGTCCATGTCCCTGCCTCAGCCTTTGCCTGGGCATCCTCTCAGACTCCACCCCGTGTAAGCTGTCCCGAGCCCCAGCAGACACGTTGTCCAATAAACACTTGCTGAACAAGCACCGTTGCAAGCCCTTATTCCACAGCCAGCAGGCTGCACTGAGGCTCCATTTCCCTTGGGGACACCAGGTCCCCACTTCTTCCTACACTCCCATCCAAGGCAGGGGTTGAGCAAGGCTCCAAGTCTGGTGAGGCCCCTGTGCCTCTGAGATTCAGCTCTCAAGGGTCTCCCACCCTGGGTCTATTTCAGAGGTCCACCCACTTCCCTTTAAGGAAGGCAGAAGTGAGCATAGCCTCCTGCTCAGTCCTGCCTTCCTCCTGGGTGACGTTAACATCACCCCCATGACCTCTGCTCCTTGATCTCCCAAGGGTCATCATCCCCTCCCATGTTAGCCACCAGTCCTATGGCCACCCCATCTCACCACCACATCTGCCTGCCTCCAGACTGTCCTGTCTGGATTCTGAGCACAGCGTGTTCCTTAAACTCTTGGTTCCATGTCATCTCCCCCTGCAGGCACTGTCCCCATTTTGGTCATTCATGACCAGGCTGTTTGCTCCCTGTCCACAGCCCAGGAGGGACTCAGGTGCCTGCTGCCTCTGTGTGTCCCCTGGAGGCAAGATCTGTCAAAGCAAAGCCACCAGGAAGACAACTGCAAAGGACTTTCAGTAGCCTCTAAGGACCTCGGGGTGCCTGGATGCTCCTCCCTCCTGCACCATGTGATGCCCTGGGTCTCATCGGACCCTTGTGCTCTACTGGTGACCATGCCATCTATTGTAGGGAGAAAACAAGAGCCCTGATGACCTGGGATTGTGGACACTTTGCTGCCTGACTCTAGATTCACCTGTCCCCATCCAGGCCTTCTCCTGTCCTCTGCATTAGATGGAAGGGCCATCGGCTTGCTGCTGGCACTCAGCCCTGTGTCCTGGCATAGCCCTTAACTCTGGGAGCCTCTTGTCTCTGTCTTCATCTCTCCCACGTCTTATGCTTCTGCTTCCTTCTCAACACCCTGAAAGATGTCACCTCCTCCACCGACCTTGGCACCTTTTGTTGGTGCTTCCTGCTGCTCCTTCCTCGCCACTCCCACCTCTGTGCCTCCAGCTCCACGCCCCTGAGCACAGTGTCCCATGTAGTCCTGGGAAGCTTGGTTACACTCTGGGCTCATGCCCTATGCCCCTTCTGTACTGCTTTGGTCCTGGCCCTGTACTCTCTCTTGCCTGTGGGCTCTCCCTGCCCCAGCCACACCCTCATTGCAATTACTATCTCCTGCTACCTGCCTGACCAGTGTGACTGTGGCCTTTCTACAGCTCCAACTACCTCAGCCCCAGGCTCTCTTCCTCCTTCTCTGAAAATGGCTGCACTGTCCACATGATTACACAGGCTGAGCCCTGAGCCACCCATTCCTTCCCTATTCCCTATGTCTATCCCATCCAGAGGCATCTTTTCCTGGCCTGCATCCTAATACCTGGCTGCTCTCCATCCTTTAGTTGTGATAAAGCTGAAGCTGCCATTAACTAGGGAAGGAATAGTGGAGAAAAGACAAGTGCCTGGAACTTTATCAGGTAGGGGGAGAGGGGCACTGAAGAGTAGGGTGGGGGACATGGGAAGAGAGAGGGACACATTCAATCCCCAGCTGTCAGCAAGGAGTCTGGAGGGGATGTAGGGTTAATCACAGGGCAGGATGGGTGTGTTTCAGTTTATAGAAGCATGCATAGCTGGAAGGTGGCACTTACTCTGGAGAATAGACTCAGGGTGGGAGAGAGCACAGCCCTCTGCTTCTGTATGGATTCCTTGGAAGTGCCTGAAGCAATTAACCACCACAGTCCCAAACTTTCAAGCAGAATGTTTTGGTTTTTTGTTTTTTTAAAGTGGTTGGGTCTTCCTGGTGCATTGATCACCTACTTTCTGAGTCTTTCAGACCTCTGGTCCCTTTAGGTATCCCACAGCACTCCCACTGCAAACGTCCACTTCCCAGGCTGGGGGATGAGGTGTTCCAGGCCATCTGGTCCCATGTGCTCCCTGTCTATGGCCTCTGTCAAGCCTCAACTGAAAGCTGTGCAAGCAACACCCCTTCCAAGTGTCCCAGAGCTTGGAGGAGCCATGGCATGGACTTCCTCTGCTTCTGTGCTGTCTCTGCCTGTCTGGGACTCAGGGAGACACGGAGCAAGGAGGGACACTATGTAGCACAGCAGGAGTTGGGGTGGAGGGTGAGTCCCAAGCCTGCCTTTGGAGTCCCTTGGATAAGGACTGTGCTTACTATGTAGCACCCAGGGTGGTTGAGCTGTATACCTCTAGCAGGGCCTGTCAGGGCCTAGTGCTGAAGGGGATAGGTGCTCTCACCCACTTTTGTGACAGATGCCCAGCTCCAGAGCCTCGGCAGCAGTAGGACTAAGTGGAAGTAGGAAAGAACCCCACCAAGGGGGCAGTCCAAGAGAGAGGTGGCAGAGGTGACCAGCCAGGAAGGGAGGCCAGTGGAAGCATTGGTCCTGGGGGGCCATGGTGCTGGTGAGTGTGCATATCAGAGTCAGGCTGCTTGGTGGAAAAGATGGGGCACATTGCCACCTGCAGGTGGGCCATGTTGCTGGTGAGTGTGCATATCAGAAAGAGTTGGGGTGCTTGGTGGAAAAGGTGGGGCACAGTGCCACCTGCAGGTGACCACAGAGGGCATAGGCTAGCACTGATACATGTGGCTTGTCTGCTGGGCCATTGCAAGAGCTGGAAGTTTGTGGCTGCAAGAACCAGAAATGTGTTCACTGAGGCTTTTGCACTGAAAGGGGCTCTCAGGAGCTTGGGGACTCACTGCGTGTCACTGTCAGAGGCTAGATATCACAGGAGGTGTATACTGTCCACCAAAGAGGTCTGCTTGGCTAACGACCAAACATGGGACTAATCCACAATGGTTTAGTGGGGAAACGATGGTTCCCAAGCCTACCTGGGCACTGGGGAGTTTTACAACTGTGCATTCCTGGGTCCCACACCAGGAGATTCTGATTCAGTTGGTCTGTGATGCTCTTCCAGGGCTTTTTAGTGCTACTAAAGTTATGTTGATGAGTCTTGAATGGGGTTAACGTGGCCTGCAGGGTGTGATACAGTAGGACACCAGAGAGCCTAGATGCCTCTGGTAAACCTCTGAGGTTCTGGGAAGCTGGCTCCTTCCTGTGTGCATGTGTGGGGCCATTGTCAGGCCGGCTGTGTTGAGCTGGGCTGCAGGTGACTGGCTCAGGCCGTGGGGTCTGTGATGGAAATGAGCCAGGTGGACACAGCTGGTCAGCCTGATGGAATATGTGTTCTGGGTTGAACACCTCCTGGATCCACATCGTTCCTTCAGTTTGCATTCAGAGAAGTACAGCCCAGGGACCCAGTCTAACAGAGTGACCAATTCCAGTGTTTAGTCGCCTCTTTCCGAGGCCATTAAGAGCACCCAGCTCCAAATCCACACTACCACTTTTCAATTCTAAGCCTCCCATACTGAGTTCTGTGTTTCCCACCCCACTGATTCTCAGACCTTTTCTTCATCTTCCCTTTCCTGCCCTCAGCCATTGATCTTTCTGCATCTGTTGCCTTCTTCCCCTCTGCTATCTTCTTTTAGCCTTGTCCCCAGATTGTCCTTGCCTGGGCTCCACTCCCCCCCTCACAACCATCCTAATCCATGAAATAAAACTGGGGCCGAAGTGGGATGGGAGTCCCCTCAGAGGGCAGGGAGGGGCAAGACACCAATGCCTGGCCTTCTAGGTGCCCACTACTGTTCTTCCTAGTAGCCCTGGGTTTTTAGAAAAGTCTTGCTTCCGTGTCCTGGAATTCTCTGACTGTGTTGCTGGGATTTAAGGGGAGAGGGAATTGTGGGTTAAATGGGAGGTGTTCAGTGATCCAGCAATGTGCGGTGGGTGTCCAAAGGCAAGAGGGATGGTGGATGAAGAGGTATCAGGCTGTGAGACCCCACCCTTCCTCCTTGGGAAAGTTCAGGAAAGGTATGTTCCCATCCATGCCAAGCCCCAGCATGCCCTTAGGGAAGGAAGCCTCAGGTCCACAGCCCCCAGACAATGGGAGGCTCTAAAATTGAGGCTCTGATGGCTACCATATGTGAGCTGAGGTGACGATGGGGTAGGTGGCTCTCAAGGTTTGTATCTGGACACTCACAAACCTCATGCACTCAGGTGGGGCTTGGCAGGTTGACTGGATAATGGAACTGTGATAATCTTAGGTGAATCAGTCTGCTGATAAGTTTAGAGCTACTTGCTGTTGGGAGGTGGGGTTTGGTTGGAAATGTGAATCACGGGGGGCGTGTTCTAGAAGGGTTTCTCTCCCTCTCCCACTCTTGTCCTCTCCCTCTGCTTCCTTAGTGCCATGTCATAGGCAGCTCTCCTGCGCCACGCCCGTCCTGCCTTGGTATCAACCAGCTGTGGACTGAAACCTCCACAAACTTCGAGCCAAATAAACCACTCCTTCTTTAAGTTGTGGGTGTTGGGTATTGTGTCTGGCTGACTAGGACAGTGACTCAGAGGTGCAGCTATGTTGCCCTCTGGGGAGCCTTTCCCTTGGAAACGCAGGTCTTACAAAAATGACTCTGGGGCCTGCAGGGACACTGCCAGATGGAAAAAGCTAGGAGGAAATCCTCAGGGCTTCAAAGGCACTTTCAGCAGTTACATTTGGAGTGAGTGGAGAAGGAAGAGAATGCCCAGTGTGTTGTGTTGGTGAACGGTGCAATGGAGCTGCAGCCCAGGGTGAAGGAGCCAGCTATTGGTAAGAGGGAGCTGGAGCCATGGAGGACACAGTGGGCAGCCCAGCCCTGTCCATGGCTCAAGTGTGGGAGCTCCCAGAAGGCTAGAGATGGAAGACAACTTGTGTTGCTCAAAGGGAAGAGGTCAGAGGCCAGGGTGCTGCAGTCGGCAACTAGGAAGATTCCTCAAGGGAGGCTGAATGGGAAGGAGACACTCAGAGCAAGATGGAAAATCAGCCTGGAAGGTGTGGCAGAGTCAACGAGGTGGAGGTGCAGGTGCATTCAGCAGACCCAGCCCTAGACAGCTGTCTCCTTGACATCTGATTCTATCAGTTACCTGAAGGATGCTGGTGAGCTTGGCACAGGCCCCAAAATGCATATAGAAGAAAATCCACCCATTTAAACCTGCTGGGGGGCAGTGGTGACTTCCTCTTGGCTGAAGGTTTGTGGAAAACACATTTCACCCCAACAGTGGATGGCCTGGCGAGTATGCGGATTGTCTCCCAGGCCAGGCATGTCAGCCAGAAGCCAGAGGAAACCAAGGCACTGAGCTCAGTCCCCAGGACACCTTTCTCTTGGTTTCTGGGTAATGTCCACAGGGTGGCATCCACAGGAGGTTCCCCAAAGGTTGGATATTCGGGCTTGGTGGATGTGCAGGTGATGGGCCATGGACTCTGTGTCAGACGCTCCACATACTGCATCACCCTGCTTCTGGGGATCTGTCAAAGTGGGGCTTTTCCAGCTTGGCTCCCCACCCAGGACCTCTCACACAGGACCAGGGTTGCTACTAGAGCACCGGGTCTCGGGTGCCAAAGGGCTTAGCTCCTCTGCTGCTGGGGATAGGTGTTGAGCCCTGAGCTCCCTCACTGCCCCTTTCTGCCAGGGACCCAAGTGTCCACCCAGAGGTGGCATCCAGGAAGCTGAGCTGTCTTCCTCCTGTCCTTTGTGCAAGGTACTGGCTTTGGGAACAGGCGAAGCCAGGCTGGCTTTGGGAAGAGGCGTAGCCAGGCCCCTCGCTCCTTTTAGAAACACCATCTGGGGCTGCTTCCTCCCGTCCCATATTTCTGACATTTCTACTGAGTGCGTTCACAATGACTGTCCCTTCCCAGAATCTCCACAAATGACACAGCTTTTCCCTGTACACACCCATTCGCATCTTTAAAGTTTCACACACTTGTGCACCAGTGTGCTTCCTGCACACGTTCACTGCCACCTATGCAGATCCACACACAGTGACACTTCTCTGTGTGACCTCGCCCCTCACACCTGCTCCCTTAGACATGTGCCTTGCCTCACACACGAGATCCTTACACCTGACCCACACTGTTCACAGCTGTTCTTCACTTACACATTGTATCGCACACATTTCCCCATAACCCACCCCATGTGCACACAGATGCCCCCAGTTGTGCTGGTTTGCTCATACACTCACTCATGTGCACAAGCTGCCAGCCTCCACAGTCCCCAGGTGACCTGACCTGTTCGTTTTTTTGTCTTGCAGTCCTTCCAGGAGCTAGATGACAGCACCAGTGAGTCCAGTGACCTCCAGCTGGAGGGGCCCAGCTCCCTCACTGTCCTGGACCAGAGCCTCACCGACCCTCAGGCAGAAGAGAAGCCCCTGGTGTTCTTTAATCTCAAGGTCGACAATGAAAGTGGGTTCTCCTGGGAACGTGCTGTCCCATTCTTGCTTAGCTTCTGAGTTTCCAAGAGAAGAGCAGGCAGAGCTGTCTGCAAGGCCTGTGCGGCCCTGACCCCTGGTGGTAACAGCTAGGTAGACAGCCCACCACAGCTGCCCTCTGCCCCCAGGTGCATGGGTGGGTGGCCTAAACAGGGACGCCAGCTGAGAGTAGGTCCTGGCCGTTGGAGGGAGGCAAGCACCCTGTGCATTCACCTCCGACCAGTCCTCCTCTTGGACAGAAACTGGTGGACTCCTTGCCAAGGCTGGTCATCCCAGCTTAGCTGTGGTCCTAAACACTGACCTGCAAGAGAGTGCACAGGAAGCTGACAGAGCCAGGGCCATAGGGGAGATGACCCCTTGCCTCTAGCACTTGCCCTGGGCCTGCGTTGTCCGCCTGGAGCAGGACCCCTGGCCCTGGCTTGCAATGTGGACTTGACATTGGTGTGAGCCCCACCAGCCAGAAATGGGAGTATAAGGTTGCACAAGTACAGTGTGGACTGGAAGCCTTAGCTAGAGGATGGGGTGGGGAAGAAGCAGTCTCTGTCTCTGGTATAGGTGACAGCTGAGAGAGAAGACAGATAGGAGCAACTTTGTTCCAACGGGTTTGGCAAACTCCATGGTGGGACATCCAGCTGTTGGTGAGGTTTGTGGAGGACAATCTGGCCTTTCTTGTGACCCCAACCTTGGAGTTGGGTCAGAGCTGCATTTGGAGGCTGCTGCCTGGTTCTGCCAGCAGCCTAAGAGCAGGATCTCTAGGGGGTATGGGTCAGGTGCTCCTTCCACAGCCTTGGTGATGCCCCTAGGTCTCACCATGCCCTTTTCTTTTGCCCAGCTCAGAAGATTAACCAGCTGGCGGCTGTGAACCAGGAAAGCAAGTTCCAAGTGCTCATCCAGCCAGAGGCCTTCAGCAGCATCTACACCAAGGCTGTCTCTTTGGAGACAGGGCTGCAGCATTTTCTCAGCTTCCTGAGGTCTCTGCACCGCCCCATCTTGGCCTGCTATAATCTGTGGGGACCCGGTCTCCCTAACTTCTTCAAGGCCCTAGAGGACATTAATAAGTTCTGGGAATTCCAGGAGTCCATCTCAGGCTTCCTGTCTGCCATGCCTCTGATCCGGGAGCGGGTGCCTGGGGCCAGGAGCTTCAAACTCAAGAACCTGGTCAAGACCTACCTGGCAAGGAATATGAGCAAACACAGCGCCCTGGCCACCGTGCTGGCCATGCGTGACCTGTACCGCCTGCTCGAGGTCTCACCTGGCCCGCAGCTGGCCCAGCATGTCTACCCCGTCAGCACTCTGCAGTGTTTCTCTTCTCTGCAGCCCCTGGTGCAGGCAGCAGCCCTGTCCCGGGCTGAGGCTCAGCTCCTGGCACTGCACAGTGTGAGCTTCCTGGAGCTGTGCAATGCATACCGCAGTGACCCACAGCAAGGCCTCAAGAAGTACAGCCACTACCTGAGCCCACAGAGCACCTCATGCCCTGCACCCTCACACCACCTTCAAGCCCTTAGGACCTACCTGGACCACCTGCTGAAGGAGCCGGCCTAGGCCTGCGTGAAAGGCAGAAGGCATCTTTTCCAGTCTTACTGGCCCCAATCAAATCCTGAGCCAGGCCCCACCTACCCAGCATTCCTAGTGCCTGATTCCTACCTAGTACTCTGTAATCCTTTGGCCCAAAATCAGTTCCCTTTCTCTGGGACCAAATTCTCCTTTGCTAAAAACCCTACAGAGGAGGCCAGGCACCCACCCCAGGAGCACCCAGGTCCCCTTTTGAGGAGCCCAAAGCAGGGAGGACCTAAATGAAGAAGTTGTGTCCTCAGATCTCTGAGGCCCTGTGGCCTGTCCTTAACACCCACACATAGGGTGCCCATGGGTACCCAAAGTGCCTTCCACACCAAGCTGCCCCCACATTAAATGCTAGTTCTGCCACTCCCTGCCTCCACTTCCACTCTGTTTTCATCCTTTATGGAGCATATTCATCCAAAAGGGGCTTCGAGCTACAGAAAGCTTCTGAAATTGTGCGCCATCCCTGTCCCTGCCTGCGCTAAAATGCTTTTTCCTTCCCACAGTTTTGCTTACAGACCCCTCCCAGCACTGCCGCTACCACAGCCTCCCAAGCAATGTCACCATCCATGGCCTGCAGCACTGGCACCCTGGGACCCATGGGCTCTGCCGTGGGTCTCCAGAGCAGGGCCTCTGCTGATAGGGCCAGTAGTTCCTCTCCAGGCAATTCGATGCCCACTCGGGTCTGAGAGCCTAGGGAAAGCCTTTGCCCTGTTCCTTTCCCACCTGGAGCACCAGTGTCCCCATCTGTGAAAGGGGATGATTGGCCTGTGGCTGCAGAGCCCAGCTCTCCCATCTCAGGCTTTTAGCCATGGGCAGCAGGCCCCCAAATCAGTAGGTGAGTAATGTTCTCATCCCAGAGCCAGGTAGGGGGGAGCATACCTATAATCCCAGCACCAGGGAGGCTGAGGCAACAGGATTGTTATGACTTCAAGGCCAGCCTGGCCTACAAAGTGAGGTCAAGGCCAGCCTGAACTACATAGGAAGACCTTGTTTCAAAAAACCCAGCTCCTAAATTAAAAAGAAAAAAAAAAAAAAAAACCCAAACTCATCAGCCCCAGCTTGTGGTACTTCAGAGATCAGCAGCAAAATGGGTGTTCAGGGCCATCCTTTCCCCCAGTGTCCCCTCTCCCCATTCCTCCTCCTGAGAGCCCAGGTGCCCGCCTCAATGGTGGTAGCCTTTGCTTTCATACAGGTAAAGGCTGAGTACCCATAGCCCTCCCTGTCTATTGGACGCTCCTATATCCACACAGACCCCCTGCAGGATTTGCTCCCAGCTCAGGTGTGCCTCGAGCCCACAGCAAACTCAGATGTGTTGCACACATAGTCCTGTTTCAGCTCCACCTCTGAACAAGTGGTCGAGGGAGGGAAGAGTGAGAAAGAGGGGCTGAGACCTACCCTGGCTGTGCCAACCCCATTGGCAGCTGTGAGGGCAGCACAGGGACCCTCCTCATCTCTTGCCCTCAGCCTTGACCACTCCCATGCTGGCTGTTTTGAGACACAGTTGATCCCAGATTTTATAATAAAGGGGTACTCTGATGCTGCCTGCACTGTCACAGCCTTTAATAAAGATAGAATCTAGCTGGGTGTGGTAGTGCATGTCTGTAATCCCAGCACTTGGGAAGCTGAGGCACTGAGTTCACGGCCAACCAGACAGAAATACATAATGAGACCCAAAAAGTGACTCTTAAAAACCTGATTCTCCAATTATAAACTCCACTTAGGCCAGTCCAGAGCCACTAAGATGCCTCTTTCCTGGACATAGCCATGCTTTATAGGGTACTTCAGAGCATGACAGAGCTGAGACACCCCCCCCCCAAACACACACACACATGTTCAGTGTCTCCAGAATGTGAATCCCCTATTTCAAGTAGGGAGTCCCAAGGTGGGCTGGGGCTGGGGCAATTTCCAAAGGAGGAAGCCACAGGTGAGGAAAGAGATACCGGCTTAACAAATCCCCTCAGAGGGAATCAAGGTGTGGAGCAGCTTGGCCCCAGCCCCTGCTGGGCAGTCATACCCTTCTGCTGGTCCCCGAGTAACCAGTGGAGGGGGGGGGGGGCTAGGTCATGCACAATGTGTAGATGTCCCAGGCAGAGCTTGCGCTGCCACCAAGCCCAGACACTCCTCCCATGCAAGCTCTGTAGTTCAGCCTTCATAACCTGCAGCTGTGGTTTGATGTGTTTAACTCCCCAATCTTCTGTAAAATGAGTCAGTGCAAACTGTATCTGTCACAGGATCTTCATGTGAACCAATCAGAACATGTATTTGTGAAAATAGCTAATATGTACAGACCACACAAATAGATCTTTCACAAACAACTGATGACAGTATGGTAGCTTTATAAAGGATTTTTAAAAGTAAACAGCAAAAAATATATAAGACAGGAAGCTGGGGCAGGAGGGTTGTGTGTTTGAGGATAGCAGAACTAGGACCCATCTCAAAGGAAAAGGGGAGGAAGGCATGTACTTTGCATCCAGGGAATAAAGCTTGGGTTTGGGAGAGAGCAGATAGCTCTGGGATCAACAGGAGCCAAGAAAAGCAGGGGTGGGCTGGTCCGATGGCAGTGGGTTATCAGAACTTATTAACATTAGTGTCACTAAAGTTGGTATACCACCACCCCCACACTGCTAAATTTGACAGGCTTAAAAAAAGAAAAGAAAAGAAGGGGTGGCTCTGTATTCCCAATGCATCAGAGGAGACAGACCTGGAGCAGAGGTCAGCCACCGTGTGGCAGCCAGCACCTACTCTGGTGACACACATCTCCACGAAGGTCACGAAACTCTCTAGGATGCCCAGCTGCTGCCGTGGTGTCGCGGCCGGGGTGAGGTAGGGGTGGATCCTCTCACCCTTCACACTCTCCTCCCACCGGTTACCGGCATCCCTAGACTCATACAGTCTGGCTAGGGTAGCCAAACTAGGGCCGCTTCCGGACATGGACAGCAGGGGGCGCCGCGGCCCACCCGCCTGGTTGACGCTGGGGCTGGGCTGACCTTGTGCGTGGAAACAGTTGCTGGTTGCTGGAGAATCCAGCCCTTCCTATAGCACCTTGCTGGTCTCCCAAGCCACCGGAGAGATCAAGATGTACGGATGAAGAACAATTTCTAAATGTTGCACCTTTTATATTTATTTTAACATCTGTTTAAAACCATGTAGCCAGACATCAAAACTAGTTTCTGAGCTGCTCAGAATGATGCTTAGGTGGGATCTTTATATATATATATATATATATATATATATATATATATATATATATAATGCATCCAAGGCGCTACCGCTGAGCCACACCCCCAACCCTTTTTGTTTCTCACTTTGAGACAGGGTCTCCATAAGTTACACGGGAGAGACTGAAACGTGCAGTCTTCCTGCCTCGGCCTCAGTGTTGTGATTATAGGGTGCACCGCCACACCAGGCTTCACGTGGGATTCTTCAAAGATTCACTGAGGACAAAAGTAGGGACAGGCTCATCAGGGGGACAGATATTGCAAAGCTTGTGACCATGGTGTAAGTGGCTTATGTCTGGGAAATGCTGGGGTGCTGGGGAATGAGGAAGAGGGTTATGGAGGGAGGCAGAGCCAGGTTAGGGCCCAAGTCAGCCCTGGAGCTAGGATAGAGTGCTAGCACTAAGTCGAGGTGAGGATCCCAGGGATTAGGGGTTGGACCCGATTAGGGCCACATTTGGGGATTGACCATCAGAGCTAGGCACTCTCACTGGGAGGGAGACCCCTGGGGCACCAGGTAAACATAACCCAACTGCCAGATAGGGAGAAAACCACGCGCTGGAAGCCGTGTCACCACATGGCATTTGCCATCTGCCTTACGCCTCCCAGCTGCTCCTTGCAGTCACACACTGGTTCCTGTTACCCTGAGACATGCAGGCCGCAGGGCTGGGGATCCCATCCAAGGGCAGTACGCTTGTGGGTGACAGAGATAGGATTGCTTTTTATGTTTCAAATTTTTATTAAAAAGTGTTCATTTTAATTATTTTCCTGTTTTATTAGTGCATGTTAATATGATGATGGACCTATTAGGAGAAGTTGGTATGTGTACTTGCACAAATCAGTCCATTTTTATTTTATTTTTATTGGTTTATGGTTGTGGATACAGAAAGAGTTGGTGCACATCTTAATTTTGATGTCCCCTTTCCCGCCCCCTTCCTCTGTCTCTTCAGAGTTGGGGTTTGTCCGAAGCGAGGCCAGGAGTCTGTCTACACTGGCACCATCTGTACCAGGTAATACAGGCTACTTGGCCCTGGAGAAAGAGAGGGTTTCCTAGTTAATCTTTCTTGTGCTCTCCTGCTCCCAAGGATGGGAAAGGCAGCTTCCCCAAAGCTGCCCAACCTTCCAGTCCTCATCCTTGAAATATATCCTACTTCTAAGGTTTTCTCTCAGGACCATGTTTCTTGAACTTTCTTTTCTCACCCCCCACCCCGCTCCTCCTCCAAAGCATTTTTAGATGCTTTCCCCTGGTTGTATTTTCCTGTGTGAAATTTTAGTACCAGAGATACTCTGCAGATTCCTTTGGCTTTTCTAGGTGCAAGATCACACAGCTGAGGAACCAAAAAACCTTTCTTTGTACACAGACAGATGTGGGGCCAGGCTGAGCCTGGGCTAGGGATGGAGGGGACACTGCCACATTGTTCTCATCTCAGCATCCAAGTATCAGCTCCAGACACATGGGACCTGACTATAGCAGACGAAGCCTGTTGAGAGATGGATGAGGATTTCCACAGACTCCCCCTCCTCCCTCAAAAAAGGACAAATAAATAAATAAGATAAACAACAGCAGGAAGTCTGAACGACTCAAGCCACTCTTCAAACGTCCATCTGCTATCAAAGAAAGGAAAAAGGTCTTTGTACTTGGCTAGAGGAACTTCTTAAACTCAGCCCAGAGGAATTCTCCCAGAGACCAGCTGCCTGGAATATGCTAACATCAGCTAATAAATATTATAAATATCCCAAACTTGATAGCTCAGCAGAATGCAAATGCTAGCTAATCCGGACATCCGGAGTCACTCGTCTGAGAGTGGGACACTGTGGTCAGAGCACCGACTAGTGTGGAGGGCCTGGGGTGTGGCTGGAAGCTCACCCTAGGTCAGGCCAAGAAGCCATGGGAGGGAGGGAGACTGGGCCCGCAGTGGCACCCTCTAGAGGTGTGCATGGTAGTAAAAACTTGGACTTTGGAGGACCTGGGTTTGAATCCCCACACTACCTCGTGACCTTGCATAAACTAAGTCTCTGTGACCTCATATGCAAATTAGGAGCAATAACACAGATGGAGAGGATTGAACTTGATAACATATGTAAAGTTCTAAACTTAGCAAATCAGCTACACAATAAAAATAGTAACTCAACATCCAACAGCCTAAAGGAGAGACTCTGCAGCTCCATCCCATCCTGCCCCTCCTCCCGCCTCTTTCCTCCTGGCCTCATCCCTCCGCTTCCCTCCCTCTTCTCTCCAAATTCCAGTTCAGTCAGGACCCAGGTGGCTCTGTGCCCATCTACTTCTTCAGGTGTCTCTGTTCCCACCTCTCCAAGCCTCTTCGACTTCAATCTCTACCAGACAGGGTCACCTTTTGGCTGCAGGCTGGAGGGATTTATAGCTGTCCCCTCCTCCTTGTACCCTGCATGGCTGTGAAGCAGCCCTCTACATGAAGGTCACTTTCTCACAGCAGGACAGACTTGTGGGTAGGATGGAGGGGGCTCCCTTGGAGGAACAAATAAATATGGTTGAGTTCCCAGCTGGGTCTGGAGATAAGACACAAGGAGACAAGGACGCTGGGAGATGAGGCTGAAGCAGTCACAGAGGCTGCTTCCCAGCAAAGCCTGCACAGTTCACTTCAAAAGGACATCAAAGGGACCCTGCTAGTCTTCTGGGGGCTCTATGCTGAGGGGGCCTATTTAGTCTGCCTTCAGGAGGACTGGCCCGAGGAGTGAGAATACGACAGGCCCAGCCCAAGGTGAGGAGGCTGCATGGGAGGGACATTTAGGTCTGCAGATCAAGAGGGTTAACTGAGGTTCAGATGGGCAAGAGGTTTTCTCCAAAGTCTCACCAAAGTCCATGGAAACAGAGGTTCGGCCCTCAACCCGTGACCTGCTCTAGGACACTTTCCAGTGAACTGGGCCTGGTTGTCCTCAAGCTGAGCCCATTACAGCAACCCTTTGCCTGGGAATGGAGTTGGTGGGGTCGCTGCAGTCCTCTGAGACCCCCTGGGGAGGGCCTTCCTGACTGCAGATCTCAGCCCAGCCCACTGCCTGATTGGGGTCTGCATTCTGATCCAGATACTCAAATTCAGGGGTGTAATCAGTCCCTGCCAAATATGGGTGGGACTCTGTTTCCAGTGCCTGTGAGCCCGGGAGTGGGTACAGGGGACCCAAAGAGGGAGTACCTGTCTGATTCCACTGGAAAGGCTTTATCTGCCCACATCTCAAGGGCCTCTGACCAGTGAGCTGTCCCATGGCTACCAGGTGGGTCACGCCCCAATCTGGACTGTCCATGGAAGGAAAGTATCATAGAAAAGCTCCACACTAGGCCATTGTGCGGCACAGGCTTCTCTCTAGTGAGGGGAAGGCAGGCGGAGGGGACTTCCAACCCAGGGTACCAGTGCTGCTCAGTGACTCTGGGACCTCTTGGCTGTCATCACAGATCCTTGTCCATTCCTCCTCTAACGAGGCGCTGGCTTTGCCACCTTTGCAGGCTCCTGACTGCTGAAGCACAGAGAGAGGGGGCAGTGCCTGGGCTCCCAAGCCACCCCAGGGGTCACTTTAGCCCCAGAGCACCCTGGGACTCAACCCTGATCACACCCTTGCCTCACTGCTTTCCTCCCTCTCATTGCTTCTTCATCCTGCTGGTGTCTGCCTGGTATTTCCTTCCTCAACCACTTGCATGAAAACCTGAATTCAGTTCAACTCTTTTTTTTTTTTTTTTTGGTATTTATTTATTTATTATTTATTTTCAAATCCATTTTAATTCAAGGAAGAAAAGAAGAAAGAAAAACTAAAACAAAATTTGAAAACACATCAATCCAGGTCAACTTCTGAGAACCTGTTTCCCAACAGGTTTTTAATTTTTTTTTTTTTTTTTTGTCTTTTTCTTTTTTATCAATACCGGGGATCGAACTCACGACTGCCTGCTTGCAAGGCAGGCGCTTATGCTGCTGAGCTAAATCTCCAGCCCCCCAGGTTTTAAAATTTTGATAAAAGCTCTTGCCAGGCTGGGTTTGAATATGAAATCCTTCTACCTCAGCCTCCCAGAGTGCTGGGATTACAGGCGTGCACCACTGTGATTGGCTTTCCAGGAGTTTGGAAGCCAGGGGATGGAGGAGGAATAGGAGGAAGAGGAGGCCCTCAGGCCCTGCTCTAGGGGCCTACTGGGTGCAGGGGTGTCTTGGTCTGAGTTTTTTTGGGATCCTTCTCCAGGTTATCTAATGCAGCAGACAATGGAGAATGGAGGGAGGGGCAGCCTCAGTTTCCTTCCTTGTTCAGTGCCCCAAATGATTTAGCAGATTTCAGCTCATCTGTAGGAGGAGCTTGGGATGTGTTTGGAGGCAGGAGATTCCTCAATTCCCAGAGCAGCTTGCAGTCATTCTAGGGTGAATTAGCTCCTAGGGCCCAAGGATGTAGGCGATCTCAATAGATGAAATAAGGTACAGCATGACAGGAGGCAGATAGCCCCAGCTGAGGGCACCTGGAGGGGACTAGTGGCCCTAGATGGCCCCAAAAGCCCACTTACCCTAAAACCACCACACCCAAGAAACCAGAGTCTGGGGGATACAGCACTGGCAGGGACTAGGTTACCTCTATTCCATTGTCTGGGTGTTACATGGTTGGCATCCTATCTAGGTCCCTGATGTCCTAAAGAAAGAATTGAGTAGGATACCCCAAAGTTGTCACAAGATCAATGATTTATTTGAGATCCTTCTGCCTCAGCTTCCTAGAGTGTTGGGATTACAGGGTTGCCCTGATATACCTGGCCCAATAACTTATATTAAAAGAGAAAAGACAATATCTACCCCTCAGGGTGGGAGCAGCCAGTGAGGAGAGCTCAGAGTCCCAAGGGGCTTGTGCTGAGGGGGGTTTGTGCTGAGGGTTTTAATCTCTAGGATTTGGGGTGGGGCTGAGGGGTTGATCTGAGGGACAACTCCCGCCAATGTTGGGCTTAGCTCAGCCTTTCTGTTGGGTTGTGGAGTTTTTGGCTTTTTATGGCCTTTGGAGGAGCTGTCTGGGTGGCCAAAGCTCTCAGTGTGGGGAGGTGGGGGTCAAATCTGCGTAGTCAATGACACGGTAATTGTGGGTAGGGTCACCAAGGGTTGCAGAAGATCCTGGGCACATGCCTAGGGGCACATTGTGTGTACACTCAGCTATCTGGGTTCCTGTCCCCCTTGATCCTGGGCTAATGTTTGACTCCGAAGATGGACCCAGCCCAGAAAGTGGTTCCAAGGTAGCTCACTCCAAAAGCCCATCACTGGCAAAAAAGCCTTCAATTCTGTGGGAGTTTGGGGGACATTTTAGGTCGTAGCTGCAACAAGCTTCAAGCCTGTGTGGTCTCAGTTCTTACTGCCTGTGAATCCTAAGAAAGACCAAGATAGTTTCCTCCCAGCCCCAGCTGACAGCACTGTACCTCCCTTCGCCACCCTGGGACATGCTCAGGATGGGAAGTCGCATCATGAGGGAACGTCTTTGAGCTCACAGACACATCCTGCTTTTAAATTTCCAACTAAGGACTGCAGCTTCTGCACTCCCAAAATAGCATTGCATCCCAGCCGAGGCATCTCCAAGAACAGACTGGAGTCTTTTCAAGAATTCTGTGAAAGCAGAGGATCCTTTGGGGCATGTGCCAGCAGGAAGAGTTCCCCAGACACCACCCTGGCCCCTGTGCCTGGCTAGACTTGTCTCCACACTAGGACACAGAGGTCTGGTTCGGGTTATGGTCACTCTCACTGCAATGTATTTCTTTTGTTGATTTGTTTTGTTTTGTGTTTTTGAGACAGAGTCTCATTATGTAATCCAGTTTGGCCTTGAACTATGTAGCCCAGGCTGGCTTCAAATTCATGGCAGTTTTCCTGCCTCTGCTGAGATGACAGGCAGGCACCACTGTGCCCAGATTTAATTCATTCTGACACACTACTAGGATACTCTGAGCATGCATTCTCAAACCCTGCTGTCCAAAGAGGATGTTGCATATAGGGAATCTTGGGATGGGATTTTAATATCCATTTCGGGCCTAGATTATTTTAAGTCAATTGATTCCACCCTCTTAGCCAGAGATGCAGTGTCCTAAGCCACCAAGTGTCAATAAGAGCCCAGGAGAAGTTATGGTGTCAGGAAACAGAATCTATCTCTCTATCCCAGTAGCCTGATGATGATAAGCACATATCCCCTAATGCTATTGAGTTTGTCCAGCAACATCAAAGGACACAAGTCTTAGGTCATCACCCTAAGTAAAGAGTGACAGAGAAGCCAGACATGATGGTTCACACTTGTGATCTGGGAAGCTGAGGCAGGGGGATTGCAAGTTCCAGTCCAGCCTGGGCAATTTAGCCAATTAGTGAGACTTTGTCTCAAAAAAGAAATCATTCAAAAAAACAAAAACAAAAACAAAAACGACTGGGGAGTATAGCTCAGTGTGAAAACCCTGGGTTTAATCTCCAGTAGTTGAGAGAGAGAGAGAGAGAGAGAGAGAGAGAGAGAGAGAAACACAACTGCAACTATCATTGTCACTGAGCCATCAAATCATCCTGCTCTGAAGCCATGATGGCAGAACCCCATGGCTGAGGGGCACACTCTTCACTTTTTGAGTAGGGTTTTGCTATTTGTAGATGGAAGTAGTGCACCCCCATCCTCCCACACCTCCCTGTCTCAACTCTTTACTACAGCAAGTCCTGTCAGTTCAGGGCTGGCAGCCTCAAGACCTCTCCTGGCTGGGCAGCCTGGGTGCCTGGCTGGGCAGGAGCGCATCTGTGAGCGTGTTGGCCTTGCACACAGGAGCCCTGTGTCTTTCCCACCAGGCCCCAGGTTTCATGAAAGGAGCACAGACTGAATAATTATTCAAGCTGCCTCTAGAAGAGCTGTTGTAAATTCTGATGGCAATAATGGCCTTGCCAGCATGTTCAGCTAATTCTACAGAAGCACTGGACAAAGGCCTTGGGCTGTATCCAGGGTCAGTGATGTCTTGCTGCATCAGACCCGTTCAGAAGATTCCTCCTGGTTACCTCCAGCAACTAGCCACAAGTTGCTGCTTCCCTCAGAAATCAAGAGTCTTCCTTCTCAGAGGCAGAGGTGGAGCTTTTCTTTTGTTTTCCCCTAGGAAATAATTAAACTTACAGAACACAATAAATACTTAAACAGAACGTGGTTTTAATTAAAAACCTTCCCCCCAAGCCTGCAGCTGCAAGTCCTCTTCGCAAACAAGGCTGCGGGTGACAAATTTAAGTACCTGAAACTAGAAGTCATGACAAACAATAACTGTAATTATTATTTACTCTTACTGTTATTATTTTGGTCTTGTTTTGAGACAGGGTCTCACTGTGTTCAAGGCTGGCCTTGAACTCACTGTGGAGCCCAAGTTGGTCTCAAATTTGCAGAGATCCTCCTGCCTCAGCCTCCTGAGTGCTGGGATACAGGTGTGTGCCACCTTGCTTGGCAACCATTTTTATTTATTAATAATACTTATCACTGCTGCCTGTGTCAATGGCATCTGTGTGCAGAGGGTAGTGAAGACAGGTCACTGGGGTCAGAGCTGAGGTCCTCGTCTTGCCAGAGGCAAGACAGAAGCATGAGGGGGTGTGCAACCTGCACTTCTAGTTTCCTGCTCCCGATTCTGCAAGGTAATAATACTAGCAAATTCCATTCTGAGCACAAAGGGCCATACACTAAGCACCTTGCATACCTTGACTGACTAAATCCTTACAAAGACGCCAACCGTAGGGGTCGGGGGTTTAGCTCAGTGGCATAAGCACCTGCCTTGCATGCAGGTGGTTGTGAGTTTGATCCCCCGGTACCGGTAAAAAAAAAGACCCCGAATGTAGCTTCTATAATTTATGCCCCTTTTTTCTTAATGCACAAAGAGGTTAAGTAACTTAGCCAGGGCTGCATAGCTGGCATACACGACAGAGTCTGATTCTAGAACCCGTCCTAACGGTGACAGTGTGGTCACAGAGAGCTTTTTCTTAAGAAGCCGTCAGGGGGCGCTCGTAAGCTCTCCGAGCTGGGAATATCACGCACGCGAAACTGCATTCCTGTAATCGGAGGCGAGGTTACAGATCCTGGGGTGCAGGCTGACTGGGCAGGGAGAGCGAGCCCCACTGTAGCGCGTGCACCGGTACCGAAAGGCTCTCCAGATCCCCGCCCGCCTCTGAGCCCCGGAAGACGGTTTTCCGGGGGGGGGGGGGCGCTCGCGAGCCAGGGCTGGCCGGAAACCTGAGCGCGCGCGGAGCCCAGGATTTAGCAAGTCACATCCTGCAGATTTCAGCCCTTCGCACCTTCGCAGCCTTACGCGTCCACAAGGTTGAAATCAGAAGTCAGTCCGCGAGGAGCGGGCCTGAGCTCAGGCTATCGGCCCCGGGGTCTGTCTGGGTTTAGGAAACTGAGCCTGGAGAAACACTCAAGCGAGTTCGCTACCCTGCTGTGAATTTGTAGCCCTGTGCCCTCTCACGCTTTGGAACTTTGGATTTCCGCTTTCTCCACCCCTGAGTCCACACAGCTGACTGACGCCTGTTTCTTTAATGATTGGCGGTGCAGGCTGCAGCGGGGTGGGGTCCTGGTTCCGGCCTGCAGTAACCGTATCCTCGCGAACATCGCTCGCCGCTGCAGCCCAAAGGCTCCCGCACGAGGAGGGTGTGCGCTGCCTTCCAGCTCAGTCTGCAGGTGGAACCGGGGGTCGCGGCTCCCGCCCGGGCGACTCGGGCTTCAGCCCCGCCGGATAGGCACAGGGCTCTGCAGGTCAAAGGCGGGGTAAGGGGTGTTTGTCCCCCTGGGGAGGATCGGGAACAAAAGCGCCAGCTATAGAGAGCGCGCTATCCAGGGCTGCCGGGATCGGCACCAGCGCCAGGGAGGCCCCCGCGCCAAGATCTACCTCTCCCCTGTGACTGAGGCACTGTCTCCTCCACAGAATCCCCAACTTCGGCATCCCTAACAATAGAGCAAGAAAAAAGAGGCGCAGAGAGACTCCCCAGAGGCTGGCAGAGGGCCCCCGTGGTCGTGGGAGCTGGGAGCTGAGAGCTGGCAGCCCATTCTCCATCCAGCGCCCAAATTCTGTCTTCCCGTCCCTCTCTTCCAACGCCTCCCTTGGTCCAGGCCTCCTCCAAGAAAACAAAAAACCAGATGGAGGTGAAAACCAGGGAGAGGGCCCACTGGCCTTGAGTTCCTAGCCTGGAGCCTCCCCACTCGTCCCCACCCTTTGTGCCCACCCTGAGCCTCAGAAAGTCCTGGTTCCACTGCCGGGCACTTGCCTCGTTGGATCCCTCTGGTGGGGAGGGGTCCTAGGTCCACTCTCTCTGGGTTGCCAGTAGAGGACAACTCACCCAGGATGACCCCGAGCTCTGCAGACAAAGGTGTCCATGCATGCCCAGTCATTCCCTGGCCCAGCCAGGGCCAAACCTTAGGTCTGATGCCTAAATTAGAGGCTGATGCAGGGTCCCCAGGCTGGGCCGGTCCTGTGTTCTCACCTTTCAGCCCTTCTCCACATCTTCTCTCTGAGGGTGGTGCCCCAGCGGCCTCCCCTTAGGTGGGCTGAGCATGTTATTGAAGTCTGGGTCCGGAACTTGGCTGATTGAGATGTGTTGGTCCCAGCTCACCAGATCTCTTGCTGCCACTGAAGGATTAGGGCCAGCGTGGGACTCCTAGTGTGCCCACTCAGTCTGTTCATATTTAATTTACAAAGCAGCCACAGAACCCCAGCCAGCCGGGTGGTCTTTTTAGATGCAGCACGCTGCACACAGTCCCTCGCCTCAACTCCCTCCTGGGCTCATTAAAATGCTTAACATTCAAATCGGGATATTGATCTCTGCAGAGGCCCCAGACACACCAGCCATCGACTGCTGAGTGAGACCATTGCCTGCCTGGATGTGAGCTGGGGGCCATGTGCACCCCAAAATCCCGATGCCTACAAAACGGGAAAGGGGCTGGGGCTCTGGTTCTCCATGAGCCCAAACCTCTGTCTGGTTCTTGCCAGCAGCTCAGTCCCTTGTAGGCTCCGTCTCTGTCTACATAGGCAGCACTAAGGTCCAAAGCGGGGTCCAGCCAAATGCCTTGATATCCCTGTGTCTCCACCTCCCTGTCACTAAGTGAAGTGTCAGGGTTTTGCCAGTTAGGGAGAGCAGGAACAGCAAGTCCCAAGTCTGCTGAGGCCAGCTGTTGTGTGAGGGTGTGAGACAGCGGGGCGGTGGCAATGCCACTGCAGCTTGGGGGACAGTGTGTGTGTGTGTGTGTGTGTGTGTGTGTGTGTGTGTGTGCACTAGAAAGGCTGTGAAGATACTGGCTGGTGTGTGGGGTGGGGGTGGAAATGTTCAAATTTTACATCCCTCGCCCACAGTGTTCAAGAGGAGCAGACGTTTTGTAACCATCCCTGTCCCTGTCTCTGTCCCCAGCAGCTTCAGTGCCCCATCCGTCAGGAATGGCAGGATCTGACTGTGGGGGTGCTTGAGTGGCAGGGCGCCCCACCCTACCCCGCGTCAGCACTGTGGACGGTGGGCTGCCAGCACCGACTTTGCCACAAAGACCAGACGTAAAGAATCCTGGCTGGGCAGGGCTGCGGTGGGCTGGGAAGAGGGGCGGCTCTTCCCGGAGCGCCCTGCAGGGCTGCGCGTTTTCGTCTGGCGGAGGGGGCTGGGAAAAGCGGGATTTGTATCTGCCCAGATCCAGGCAAAAATGGCAGGGAGGGCTAGGCGCTCTGCTAACACTATCAATTATGCATAGTGTTGAACGTGGCTTCGGGGAGGAGGCGGCTAGCAGGGGTTGCGGAAGGGAACCGTGCGCGCGAGCCAGGCTGCGCGCGGCCCCTGCGGTCCGCTGGAGGTCTTTCTGTGCCACCCGCTGTATTTGCAAAAAGTATTTCAGGGCAGAGACACGCCCCCCCCCCCCTTTTCCGTTGTGCGCCTTGTCTGCCCCTAAATTCCTCAAAGATGGTTGGTCTCACGTGTTGTGGGGTGTAAAAGCGGCTTGCATTCAATTAGCAGCGAAGCTCGCGGGAGCTGGCGGGACGGGCGCGCGAGGGTGAGTGAGCAATGAATGGATTGCGGGTGCGAAACGCACGGGACGAGCGTGCCTGCAAAGGTGTGCTTGTGAAAATGCATGTGAACATAGCAGGAGCGCGACACATCGACGCTATTATTTCAGGATGACGGATAATTCCAACCTGGGAGGGTCGATTGTGTGGCGTGCGTCCGTGCGCGTGTGCATGCTTTTGAGCATGTGGGTGGGGGGACTGTGTGATGGGGGCAGTGACAATGTCCGCGGGTGTGTAGGGGGGCCGTAGGTTTGCGGGGTGCGGTGGGCTGGGAAGAGCCCAACCTAGGGCGGGGGACGTGTAGCGTCCCTTGCGATCGACCCCTCTCGGAGAGGGTCTCTTCGGCTTTACCAAACGTAAACGCGGCAGGAGGTGGCAGAGGCTGTGCGCGTTCCCGCGGAGCCCGGAGGCGCGCGACGACTCTAACCTGCAGCCGGAGAAAAGTGGGGCTAACCGACTGGTCGCAAAGAAAGACTGAAGTGGGACTTCGGGGCCAGGGGAGTCCTCCAACTTACCTGTCTCTTTTTTTGTGCCCCTACACCGGCTTCTCCCTGCAGCGAAGCAACAGATGCGTGAGGCGCCCTTGGGCTGTCATCGAGTCTGGAGAAGGGGCTGCCCCCCAAAGGCTGAGCGCCGGGCAGCTGCGAGCTTCGGGTGAGCGCCTCACCGGGGAGGGGTGGAGGTGGGGCAGGTTCAGCCTCCAGCACCCCGCCCAGTCTTCCCGGAGGAACTGGGAAGGGAGGGGCCCTCCCCTGGGGGCAAAGGCAGTGAAGGGGACACAAGATCCCACAGACAGGACTGGGAGGGGCTCTGCCAAACCTGAAAGGAGGAGGGGGGGGGTCTATGTAAATGTGTTTGTGTGGCTGGGAGTGAGGTTTCCTAGAGTCCTTTGGGGATTCTGGAGACCGTGCAGAATGTTGAACCTCAGCTTCATTAGCTAGTAGCTGTCCCCTAACCTGTGTGCTGGGGGGCCCCCTCTATGGTCCTTACCCTGGGGGCTGCCTGAGCTCTGTAGGACCTCAGGAGAAAGCTTTGGTGACTGCCACCAGAACACATCTTTTCCAGGCATGGGGTAGGGTTTCTCTCCCCAGAGCAGCCCTGGCTCTTTCCTGGGGACAGGCGACTTGACCTAGGGTGGAGAAGGGTTTGTGGGTGGGCGCAGTCCTCTGTACCGCTGCTCCGCTGCTCTGATTCCAGTCTCAGAGGAGGACCTTATACACAGAAAGTCGCTCTCCTGTCCTTGTGCATGGGTCGCTTCTCACAAAGAACAGGAAAGTGCTATGTGCCGCGCTGGAAAGCACTGTACAAGTGCTGGTTTCAGTGCTGAGAACAATGGGGTCGCAGGAGTGCGCTGTGTAGGTGTCTGGGTACATTTGTCTGTGTACATGAAAGGCACTTCCAATCTCCTGAGAGAGCAGCAGGTCCTGTAGGTGGGGGGTACTGGCCCGGCCAGAGCTTCTGTTTGTGTTGTGTGCCTGGGTGGGACAAAGGGTTCTAGAGAAGACAGCCAATCATGGATAAAAACATCCTTTCAGGGCTGAGGATTTAGCTCAGTGGCACAGTGCCTGCCTGACAAGCTTGAGGTCCTGAATTCGATTTTCAGTACTGCCAAAAGAAAAACAAAAGCAAAAACATCCTTTCTGTGTATGCATCTCACCGGGTTAAATGAAGGCTTACAAACACGGAGAGGTCAGTGCAGAGCCCAGGGCTGATCCACAGATGGGGAGCCAATGGAAGGGCAGTTACAGGGTGAGGGGTAGGTAGGGAAAAGAGTATGGACCGTGTCCTCTGGGAAAGGAAGGGGAGGCCCTGAGAGGAAGCATTCATAGAATTCCCAGACTTATATTAAGCTCCAATCGTGTCCAAGAAAAGTTCTTGGACACAGAGGAGGTTACTGGCGCCTATGCTAAGCTTGAGCTCGGTAAGTCATGCCCTCCTCCACTTCCTTCACAGGAGCAAAGATGGTGCCCCTTCGAGCCCTATGGTTCGCCTGGGCGCTTCCAGCAGTGGTTCGAGCGTGCCCCGAGCCTTGCGCCTGCGTGGACAAGTACGCGCACCAGTTTGCGGACTGCGCCTACAAGGAGCTGCGTGAGGTGCCCGAAGGACTGCCTGCCAACGTGACTACGCTGAGTTTGTCGGCCAACAAGATCACTGTGCTAAGGCGCGGGGCCTTTGTCAACGTCACCCAGGTCACGTCGCTGTGGCTGGCACACAGTGAGGTTCGCACCGTGGAGCCGGGGGCCCTGGCAGTGCTGAGTCAGTTGAAGAACCTCGATCTGAGCCATAATCTTATCACCAACTTTCCTTGGAGCGACCTGCGCAACCTGAGCGCTCTCCAGCTGCTTAAAATGAACCACAACCGCCTGGGCTCCCTGCCCCGCGATGCGCTTGGCGCGCTGCCGGACCTGCGTTCGCTGCGCATCAACAATAACCGGTTGCGCACGCTGGAGCCTGGTACCTTCGACGCGCTCGGCGCCCTGTCCCACTTGCAGCTGTACCACAATCCTTTCCACTGTGGCTGCGGCCTGTTGTGGCTGCAAGCCTGGGCCGCCAGCACCCGGGTCTCGCTGCCCGAGCCCGACTCCATTGCCTGCGCCTCTCCCCCTGCGCTGAAAGGGGTGCCGGTGCACCGCCTGCCCGCCCTGCCCTGTGCGCCGCCCAGCGTGCGGCTGAGCGCAGAGCCCCCGCTCGAGGCGCTTGGTACCCCTCTGCGCTCTGGCTTGGCTTTCACGGTACACTGCGTGGCTGAAGGCCACCCCACTCCCCGCTTGCAATGGCAACTTCAGATCCCCGGCGGCACGGTGGTCTTAGAGGTCCCGGCCCAGAGTAAGGAGGACGATGAGGAAGGAGCAGAGGATGGGGCAGAGGACGGAGATGGGGAGGTTCCCACCCAGACGGAGGCGCCAACCCCGACGCCAGCACCTGCGTGGCCCGCGCCCCCGGCCACCCCGCGCTTCTTGGCTCTGGCAAATGGCTCTTTATTTGTCCCGCTCCTGAGTGCCAAGGAGGCGGGCGTTTACACATGCCGTGCATACAATGAGCTGGGCGTCAACTCGACGTCAGTACGTGTGGCAGTGGCTGCCGCTGGGCCCCCAAAGCACGCTTCTGGTGTGGGGGGAGACCCCGACAGGCAGGTCCCAACCTCTGAGCGCAAAGTCACCGCCAAGGGTCGAGGCAACAGCGTCCTGCCTTCCAAACCTGAAGGCAAAGCCAAAGGGCAGGGGACAGCTCGAGTCAGCACCCTGGAGGCGGAGCTGGAGGAGGAAGCAGATGGAGGAGGCGAGGTGGAAGACCAGATCCCGGGGAACCCAGCCGAGGAGCAGCACTGCGGCCACGGGAACCCTTTTCGGTACGTGTCCAACCACGCGTTCAACCAGAGCTCAGAGCTCAAGCCGCATGTCTTCGAGCTGGGTGTCATCGCGCTGGACGTGGCGGAGCGTGAAGCGCGGGTGCAACTAACACCGTTGGCCGCGCGCTGGGGTCCCGGGCCCGGTGGGGCTGCCGGAGCCGGGCACTCCGGGAGAAGACCCCTGCGCCTGCTCTACTTGTGTCCAGCTGGGGGCGGTGCGGCCGTGCAGTGGTCCCGCGTGGAGGAGGGCGTCAACACGTACTGGTTCCGTGGCCTGAGACCAGGTACCAACTACTCTGTGTGCCTGGCGCTGGCGGGCGAGGCCTGTCACGTGCAAGTGGTGTTTGCCACCAAGAAGGAACTGCCCTCGCTGCTGATCATCGTGACAGTGAGCGTGTTCCTGCTGATGTTGGCCACCGTGCCCCTGCTAGGTGCCACTTGCTGTCACCTGCTGCGGCCGCAGGCTCCGGACCCCATGGAGAAGCACATCGCAGCGGACTTCGACCCGCGCGCCTCCTACTTGGAGTCCGAAAAGAGCTACCAGGCGGTCGGTGGAGAGGGTGTCGAGGAGGCCCAGGGGAAGGAGCTCGACGAGGACCCGGAGCAGGGGGACCTGCACGGGGACCTGCAGTGGGAGGAGGGCCTGGCTGCCTGCTCCTTGGTGGAATCGCAGTCTAAGGCCAACCAGGAGGAGTTCGAGGCAGGCTCGGAGTACAGCGATCGGCTGCCGCTGGGTGCGGAGGCGGTCAACCTGGCACAGGAGATCAACGGCAACTACAGGCAGACAGCGGGCTGACACCCAGTGAGCCCAGCCCGGCAGCCCCACCCCACTCTGGGCGCCTGGTGTGCCCGGCCGCAGAAGCCTAGGGCTGGCAGAATTTATGCGCCCCCTGTCCCCCCTCAATCTCCTCACCCCTCCCTAACCATGACCACTGGAAACCCCTGCTAAAAAGTAGGCCGAGTTTCCCTCCCTGGTCACCCGTGGGCGTCTTTCTCCTGATGGATTGTTCCCTGTTTTCCCCAAGCACACAGTTCTGCTTCAGCCTCCCCACACAAAGCGCCATCCGCTGGAGGCAGGCTCAGTCTATGCCCCTCCATTCTTAGGCTTATTAAACTCTACGAAATCCGCAGGGCAGTCGGCCCATCTGTGTGCCCTGGAGCTGAGGGAAGACAGGAAATGGCTGGCGGTTACTGTGGCTCCTGGGCTTGAAGCGCGTGGGTCTCGGCCTTTTCTGGTGTGCAAATACCAGAATGCAGTTACTTTCTAATTTCAAATCCCCCCTCCAGACAGGAAAACAAATCTTTCTGCCAAATCTCTATCCCTGCCCAGCTGGAGCCCAATCAGGTGCCCAGAGCGCCTTGGAGTTCCGCCTTCTGATTTTCCTCTTTCGTTATTTTCACACACACACACACACACACACACACACACACACACACACACACACACAGAGTAACATTCTGGGTCTGGTGCTAACACCCCTTTCCCAATCTTTGGAAGACTGGGTGTGCGTGTATCAAGAGGCAAGGAGAGGAATCCGTTTCCTTCTGCCCCTCTCCTGACTAAAAGCGCCCGGGTACCGTGCTCCCGGGTTCTGCAGAGCCGGCAGGCGTCCGCGTCGGGAGGAGCAGGAGAGGGGCGCCCACACTAGCTACTTCTGCAGCTCACGAGGGCGCGCGCCCCCAAGCAGCAAGCGCGGGCGGGCGCAAGGCGCGGACTAAGGCTCCAGGGGCTGCTGGTCCTCGGGGACTGGCGCCCTGGAGCGCACAAAGCCTGTAGTCAGCCGTGGAGACTGGGGAGCCGCTCTGTCCCCGCCCCGCCCCCTCTCCGCGAGAATAGTGTTTGCCGCGTGTGGTCCTAGCGGAGCGTGGTCTGTAGAAGTCTGTGTCCTGTATGGTGTAGTGTAGTGGGGCGGGCGGGAGGCAGGGGGCGGGCAGTGGGAAGGGAAGGGGGAAGGGGCGCGGGGGCCGGGCGGGGTTCGTTTCTGGGTTTTACAGGAAAGCGTCACGGGTGGGTTTCAGGCCTCGGGAGCGACTCTCTAGGCCAAGCGCAGCACAAGCGTGGTTCGGGGTGGAGTAATCAATCCCTCGGAGCTCGCGTCCTTTTCTAAACGCGTCTGTGTGTACACTGTCAATAAAACGGTTGCTTTGAACTGGGCTCGGTGACTTTTGTAGGGGGTGATTTTTGCAGGGGGACCAAAGAAGGAGACCTGAGGGATAAAGGAAGAGAGGAAGGGAGGAGGCTCCCTTTGGAATCTTTTGTGTGATTCCATGTTTGTGTGATTTCCTTGTGATTTTGCCAGGTGTTTGCACCTGGCCCTGCACCTCTGTTCTCTGAGTCTGGGATGAGAGGTGAAACCTCTTGGGGTGCCAGGAGACAGCAAGTGAATGGAAAGGGTGAATGCATGCAGGCCCGGCTGGGAAAGCGGAGAGTTCCTCCGGGAGGATGTGCGTGCATGTACTCCTGTGTGCACCAACCCTCCATGAGGTGCAGCAGTGAATTGTCTCCTTTCTAGTCAACAACACCAGCCATTGAATTCTCTAGGAAGCTGGGGATGGGGCAGAGGGGATTCGCAGGGACAGGGCTGTTGTGGCTGGCACAGGAGAAATCAACACAAATTTCAGAGCGGGCAAAATGAGAGCAGGATGAAACTTGGGAACATGGAGTCCACAGGACAAGCTGGCTCCTTACTCTGTGCGTGTGTGTTGTGGGGTGAGTGGGGCATGTTCTCCGGATGCTGCCAGGGATGGGGGTGGGCACCATGGAGCCAGGGATGAAAGTGCACTGATTTAATAGTCCTGGACATGGGTCAGGGCAGAAATGAGACCCAAAAGTGGACCCCGGGCTCTAGAACAGCCTTAGGTGCTGAGGTCGGGCTGCTTGTGTGCATGTGCTCCGACCAGCCAAGGAGCAGGAAGTGGCCAAGAAAGGAGCAGAGGAGGAAAGGAAATGAGTAGTGCAGATGAGGATTCTATGCTGACCCTCCCTCGCTCCTGCCTCCCTCTGTTTTCCTCCCTTAGCCTGTCTGTGGGTGTCAGGTCTTCCTATGTGGCCCAGGTCAGACATCGACGACATCTTGTTCTCTCTCCATGCTAGTCTCCTGGCCAAGATTGTGACATTTCTCAGAGCCTAAGCCAGGCTCCTTTCTCAGACCAGTAACTGTTTTAGAGAAAAATTCCTTCCAAGGGTCACCACCTGAGCACTGCCAGGGTCCCAGTGAGGTCCTGCTCCCTGGCCAGGAACAGCCTCCTTCAGGAAGTGTTGCTTTGTCAACCAGCCAGTACTCAGCAGTTGGAGCCCAACCTAATTCTCCTTCCTGTTCCTTCCTGCCCTCGGGACTGGGGGCCCTCGTAAGTTCCTCAGGAATCCTGGGTGCCTACTGGGAAAGGCGCAGGAGAGCTGAGGGTTCAACCCTCTTCTTTTCTGGGCCAGAGCAGGCACTGCTCAGCAAGACCCTGTGCTCCCCAGGGAAGGCCAGGCCTAAAGCCCTGGGGTTGGGAGGGGTAGAAGCTGGAGGCCAAGGGCTGGGTTCTGAGACTCAGCCTCTCACATCCTCTGGTTTCTGACTACAGGTTGAGCTCATGATCACAATTAACCCCAGCCTCTGGCTTTTCTTACTATTTCTTTTATAATTTTGTTCTTGTAAACCCCACCCAACTTCACCTCATTTTTATGTTCTCTTTCCAGTGCCCCAATTCATTGACCCACTTAAGGTTTAATTCTTTGCTATGGCATCCCCATCAGGAGTTGTACGACCCTGGCTTATATTTATCCAGAGACAGGGAGCTCACCATTTACTGCCGCCCCCAATCTTGGGAGCCAGTGCTGAGTGGTTTCAAATGTGTCTGTGCTGTCCCTCCTCAGGACTGCCATTGGCCTATGCCACCCCTGTCTCCAGAACCTACAGATTTGGAGGTGTCATCCCTTCTCCATCCCTTATTCTAGGTCTCCCCAGCTTTGCATTTGGTGCTGTGCTGGCTTAGCTTCCCAGAGGGCATAACTCGCTTGGTTACCACAGTGGGGTTGAAGAGTGTGTCCCTGTATACACATCACATGGCCGCATGTTTGTGTATCTCTGAATGTGTATTGGGGGACCTGGAAAATGCTCAGGAAATGCAATATGACAGCAGTAGCCTGGGAACCCACAGCAGTTTGTCAGGAACAGTAATTGTTTGAGCGACATAAACCAGGTCCCCAGGATGTGGCCTTGAATCTGATCAGAAACCTGTCTGCAGAAAGGTGATTGGAAAAGACAGAAATGCTTCCTAAAGATCAGCTGCGAGGAGGGGACCATCAGAGAAAATCCATTAATGCAAAGGAACAAAAGACAGCAGGGCCTCTGTGAGAAGGAAACAGCTGCTGTGGGGTCTTCTACTTCCAAATGGGCGTCAGGAATATAGCTCTCCACCCATGCGTGCTCCGAAATGCCCACAGCTAAAGCCGACATGGCCACAGGTCAGGCGAGGCAGTGAACGTTTGGGTTGTTACTCCCAGAGGGTGATGCAAATCTCTATTTTCCTCTCCAGTTTTCAGGGAGAGACTTTTTGCTAAGTAAAGGTAAGGGGGGTGGCATCATGACCACCTCACTCTGAGGCTGTTAGGAGACATTACCCAAGGAAAGAGGGACCGAGAGAGAAAGGACTGTGCTGCAGGAATGCTGACCAAGGAGAGGTGGGAGACCTGGTCTTTTCGGGATGTGTGTTTAATAGAATGCCAAACCCATGTGTGAGCACATAAGAAAGGCTCAGGCCTAGGCCATTCATCGCTAAGTTCGATCTAACAAATAAAATGCCTTTGCCTTACATATCTGCCACATAAAGACACTGACCAGAGAAACTGCGAGAAAACCAGGCGTGGAACAAGCAGAGGCATTTTAGTTGTAAGATGTCAATTAACTGATTGCATTTGAAATACACCTCCCACACCTCTATGTTCAATGATGAGTGCTTCCCTTAGGGCTCTAGAGGGAATAATGTTATATTGAAAATTAAAGACCCGTTGTGACTAGCATAGACTAGGGTTAGAAAATGTCTTGCAATATTAGCATTTAGCTCAAAATATAACCAGTGTTCCAAAGGACATTTGATATGGATTTTCTTTTTTTTTAAAAGCTATTTAAAGACCCCGTGCTGGGTAGGGAAAAAAAACCACCCAACTTGTTGGGTTAAATTAGTTAGAAAGGCTTTGTATTGTCCCTTGGTTGAATAAGTAATTGTAAGATGATAGGACTTTAAAAATTGTACTAATTGTGTCTGCTTTGTTTGGACATGTGAATGTAAGTTTAATAATTAAATTTAAGTCCACATGGAACAAGGAGAATAAAAGTGTTTATATTTTTATCAACTGTTTATGGCTTAGGCTTATCCTCTTGTGTATTAGGAGTTAATTTAGTTTTGGCAAATTAGATGCATTTTTCTCTTAGCAACACTGGCAAAGCAGTCCTCAAATTGAGTCTAAAAGCCATTGAAAGCATCTAGCCACTTGAGAGAAAAACTGCCATGATCATAGAGATTAGAGAGGAACTTTGTAAAGATTGACCAGAGTTGGAATGGGAACATAATAGCAGTCAGTGTGTGGGGGGTGCTGGGGATCAAACCCAGGGCCTCAGGAATGCTGGGCAGGTGCTCTACCACTGAGCTACCTCCCTGGCCCCTCAAATGCTTCCTAATAAAGGTGGCTTATTGTACATCTAGACTAAGTATTCTAATGATTTCCACCTAAAATTAATAATGTAAATAATACCAATGTTAGCCAATATTTATTGAGTTCTCTTTTTTCCTTGGTACTAGACTGGGGATTGAACCCAAACCCTCTGCACTGAGCTAGATCCCCAGTCTTTGTTTTTTTTTTTTTTTTTTTAAAACATAGTATCACTATGTTGCTAGGTTGCCCTAAGGTGGGCTGGAACTTGCAATCCTCCTGCCTCAACCTCCCAGAATGCTGGGACTATAGGGGTTTGCTGGCTTTGAACTCAAAGGAGCCTTCTAAGTGCTGGAAATGACCCAGATCTTGATTTAAGAAGTGGTCACTTGGCTGTATCAGGTGTAAAAATTCACTCAAGATCTGTGTTTTATTGTATTTATTATATCTTGATTTTTCCAAATGGAAAAAAAATTACCCTTGAGAATAAGGTGACAAGTTGTATGGGTATATTATAGCACTGTACCACCCAAGAGAGTAGCCACTAGCTACATGTGCTTGTTCAACTTTTAATTAATTAAAATTAAATACAATTTAAAATCTAGCCTCTTAATTACACTGACCACATGCTCAGTCTCCACATAAGACCAGGGCTGCTGGGTGCAGATAGCAAGGACAGAGACCATTTTCATCATCGCAGCAATTTTGTTTTTGTACCAGGGATCAAACCCTGGACCTTGAGCTTACCAGGCAGGCATTGTGTGGCGAAGCTATATCCCTGATCCTCTTTCTTTCTTTCTTTCCTTTTTTTTTGGTCTTTTGAGATTGAGTCTCAAGGCTGGCATCGAGCTCATCGTGTAGCCCAGGTTGGCCTTAAACTTGCAGCAATACTCCAGCCTCAGCCTTCCAAGTGCTAGGATTATAGATGTGCACCACCATGCCCGGCTATCACAGCAAATTCTACTGTAGTGCTGCTGTAGAAAACTGGGGCATGGGCTAGGGATTTAGCTCAGCGGCATAAGCGCCTGCCTTGCAAGCAGGCAGTTGTGAGTTCTATCCCCGGTACTGATAAAAAGGAAAAAGACCAAAAAAAAAAAAAAAAAAAAAAAAAAAAAAGAAAATTGGGGCATATAGAAATGCACTGAAAAAATAATTACTTATAATTCCTCCATCCAATGAAAACCATAGTTAGAATTCTATATTTTGCCCAAGATCTTTCTCAAATAATTTCTATTACATTGCATGAGTCACATTCTTGCCCTAAAATAATTAAATTTAATAATCAATATAGTGAAATTCTCCTTGACCACCATCTGTAATTCTAGAGCTTTCCCCAGCAGCAACTAGAAAACCATGTTTACTAGATTACCATGTGTCTAAAGCATGTGTCTTTTGGGGCCTTTTTTGTTTTTTGCATGTCTCCTATAAACAGAAGCATCTGGGCATGCAACACACAGCAGTGTGTATCACTAACACCATCTCAGCTCACAGAGTTTCCACCTGTTTAGTTCA